AAAAAGAAAAACAACTCAGACATATTAGAAAACATATGAAGGGTAGTTCTATTTTTGGAATGACAGACCCACTGAGGACATCTAGAAAAACTAGACAAAATATTTAAAAGCAGCTTCTTGAAGATGCAACAAGATAGAGAAGAACTACAAAGCAAGATCTGGAGGAATGGTGGTCTGTGGCATTAAGCTTAATGATTTCCTGAACTAATTTTCTCGAGTTTTCAAATTCCAGAGAGGTGACTAAAAGGCTGAGAAGCTGGTCAGTTTCTCTCTGCCCCTTGGGACTGGAGGATTAGGAAGGAGTTAGAGATTAGGGCCTACACAGGAGCAGGTCCTTCTGAGCCCCAACCTTTTCAATGGAACCCTAAAGGGTTGCTCCTTAGGAATAGAGTTATCCATGATGAGACACAGTTTCTCAAGGGACTGCAGCTCAAGTCCAAACAATCTCAGTCCTTAACATTCAATTAAGATTATTCCAGATTGCTAGTGACCTCAAGCACCTGACAGAAGTACATAAAGAGCTTTTTGAAGGAAGATAGCATCCCAGGTCTGCAGTAAGAAGAAAAACAGCAACTCTGTATCTACCATTTATAATAGACACAGCATATCAAAAATGCAAAGAAACAGAAAGATTGAAAGAAATAGGATAGAAAAAGATCTGCCAAGCAATTATGAACCAAAAGAAAGCTGGGTGGCTATGTTAATGTCAGTAAAAGTAGAATTTCTCTCCAGTAGAAGTAAAAAAGAAGATTTCATAACCATAAAAGAATTCATAATAATAAAAGCCTCAATTCACCAGAAAGATATTTCTAAATTTGTGTGCTCTTAATATTTCTCCAAAATATATAAAGAAAAAACTGACAGAACTATAATGAAAAATAGACAAATTTACAAATATAATAGGAATTTTAACATACTTCTCTTGGTGACTGGTAAAATAAATGGGGAAAAATCAGCAAGAAACTAGAATATTTGAACAACATAACTAGTAAACTTGACCTAAATCTGACATCTACAAAGAAACCTGCACCCAGCCATTGCAGATCCCTTCAAGTACACACAGAATATGACTATGAAAATTAAAAAATATTTTGAACTGAATGATAAAAAGAAAAAAGCCACCTATCAATCATGAGGCTTCTGTGTCTAGAACAGATAAGGGACTTGTGTCTAAAATATATAAAAAACTCTTAAAATTCAACAATAAGAAGACAAATAGCCTAATTTAAAAATGGGCAAAGGATCTCAATAGACCTTTCTCCAAAGAAGATATACAAATTACCAATAAGCATGTGAAAACTGTTCAATATCACTGATCATCAGGGAATGCAAATCGAAATCACAAGGAGATAACACTTCACCCCCACAGGATGGCTAGAATCAAAATCAGACAATAGTAAGTGTTGGTAAAATTCAAAACCCTCATACGCTGCTGATGGAAATGTAAAATGGTACATTTCCTCAAAGAGTTAAACTTCGTGTTACTATTTGATCTAGAAATTCTACTCCTAGGTATGTACCCAAGAGAATTGAAAACATTTGTCCACACAAAATCTTGTCCATGAATGTTCATAGCAGAGCATTATTCTTAACAGCCAAAGTACAAAAACAACCCAAGTGTTCGTCACCTTAATGAATGAATAAGTGAAATGTGGTTTATCCATAGAATGGAATGTTATTCAAACATAAAAAATGAATAAACTGCTCACACATGCTACAACATGAGTGGACCTTAAAAACATTGCACCGAGTGAAAGAAGCCACTCATAAAAAAAAAAAACACACGTGATTCCATTTGTATGGATTCCAAGTGTCCAGAATGGGCACATCTATAGATGCAGAAAGTAGATTGGTGATTGGCTAGGACTGGCCGAGAGGGGGACTGGACACAAGGGGTAATAAGCTGAACAGTACAATGTTTCCTTTTGAAAAGATAAAAACGTTCTAAATCTGACTGTGATAATGGTTACACAACTCTGTGACTATACCAAAACCATTTCATTGCACACTTTAAATTAAGTTACTCGTATGTATGTAAGTTATATCTCCATAAAGCTATTGGGGTTTTAGCACTTATACACACCTGTGATGACTTCTTCAAATGACATTATTTCTCATAAATAAAAATCCCTCTGGAGTAGATGGGTTCTAACCCCAGTCTACAGATACTTCCCTCCACCACCACCAAAGCCAGGTCACCCCCTTAGAAGGCAGCGTATGGCCACCTAATGTTACTTGAACATGCCCCCGTTTGGGGGACAAGCGTTTGTGCTCATGTGTGTCCACGCACACAATATATAGATAAACCACAACTTGTACCCTCAAGGACTCTCCCTGAAAAGAATTCTGGTCAAAACAATTTGTCTCTATAGTGCCAGAGATGCTGGAAACTGAGCTTCCTTTAAATGTTTGTGCTCAGGAAACTAACAGCTAGGCAGTACCTTCATCTGGTTCTTCCAGGGCAAAGCCCGTTGCTGAAGGCCGGGAGCTCCCTCTATGCTAGATAAAGACCAATGAACTGAAGAAAACTTAGCAAAGACCTTCCTGCTAAAGGAGTCTAAGTTGGTGACCAAAAATGGCTCCCGATCCATAGCTTCCAAACCTAGCTGATTGCCATAATACTTCTGTGGCTTCTTAAATTATCGATTCTTGGGCTTTGCCCTAGACCTATTAAACAGGGATTTCTGGGAGAAGATCCTAGGAATCTGTGTTGTAGTTTTTTTAAAGACTTTATTTATTTTTAGAGATGGGAAGAGAGGGAGAAAGGAGAGAAACATCAATGTGTGGTTGCACCCCTACTGGGGACCTGGCCTAAAACCCAGGCATGTGCCCTGACTGGGAATCAAACCTGTGACCCTTTGATTTGAAGGCCAGAGTTCAATCCACTGAGCCACACCAGCCAGGGCTATGTTTTGTTTTGTTTTGTTTTGTTTTGTTTTGTTTTGTTTTGTTTTTTAACAAGCTCCCCAAGTACAGTACTTCTGATAGTTGGCCAGATTAGTAGCCACTATAAGAATCTTCATTCATGAGCAGACAAGCAAAGATCACTCAACATATAAAGAAAGTCAAGCCGCCTGGAAAAACATGGCTTTTGTCAAGGAAACAGTTAATTGAGGAAATGGCAGAGAACTTTTCCAGTGTCATCAGTGTCCTTGGAGAGATCTGAGAGGAGGCTGTATATGAAGGGCAAGAGGCTCCCCACCCCACCAAGTCCCTGCCTGCCTGCTGCACACAGGATCAAGCAGCAGCCTTCCCTGATACTCATCCCACCCGGCCCTGGGGCCTTGGCTGGGTAGGGCATCCTCCTGCTGGGCTAGACCCTCTCCTACTGCCTAGATCCAGCTGGGAGGTTAATTCAGTAGAAGCTTGCGAACTGATGCAAGTAAATAGTCCCATTGTACCAGTAAGGAAAGGAAATGAGTTGCAGAACTGTATTTACAACATGATCTCAATTTTGTTAAAATTAGACACAACATTCCCCATACACACAGAAATAAGTCTGGAAGAATGTAACCCAGACTGTTAACAATGGTCTTTTCTGGGGAGTCAGATTACAGGTGATTCTTTTCACTAAGGTTTCAATAATGAATACATCTTACCATGATAATACAGAAGACAAAACAATGAAACATGTTTTCATCAGGACACGGCTCAAGTAACAGAGCCTTGCAGCCCTCTGACACTCTTTTGACCACTCCAGTGCCACCAGCTCTGATCATCCTGCACACCCCCCTTGTCTGGTACAGGCCCACATCCCAGAGGCATTAACAGGGTTTGCCTCCAAGTGTAGGAAGAACTAAGCGAAATAGTGCAGGTAAAGCATTTGCACAAGGCATGACACATGGTAAGTGCTCAACAAACGGTGGCTAGTAAGTTATTCTCATTATCCCCTACCAAGGGGACCAATGAAGTCCAGCATGCCAGACCACAGGCCACTTCCAGGGCCAGGGCATGCTTCTCCATCACCTCCTCTGCCCCTAGGGAGAAACGCAGGCTGAGAAGAGCAGAGGACTGACAGAGGCAGCCAGAGAATACGAGAGCGGGAACCCAGGAAGGGCCTGGCTCCTTGGGTGCTCTGTCCTTGAATTCTGAGCAAAGTCCAGTCATGTGGCCGTAACTGCCCCAACCCTAAAGAAAACAGTATAAGAGTTGAAAAAAATTATACCAGACAGATTGACTCAGAAAGCTTGAACCCCGGTACCAACTCTGACACTGGCTCACTGGAAGACCTTCTCTCTGGATCTCAAGACTTCATAGAGGAAATACAACAGCCCCCCACCCCCCAGCCCCCACAGGTAGTTGCAGAGCCAATGAGAAAACCAAAAGAAAGCTGTGAAGGGCTGTATTCTAGGACAGGACTGGTATCTTCACAATAGCTACGTGGAAGGCTAGGTTAGTCCAGGCGGTGGGGCAGCTGCTGCTCAGCTTTGTGGGGCGGGGGAGGGAGCTGGGGAGCAGGAGCCTGCTGCCCATTTCTTTCCGGCTCAGGCCCCCAGGGCAGCACTGTGCACCTCAGGAGCCTGGTCACTCCTGGAGGAGATGGTTCTCCCACCTCCGCTGCAGGTCAGCTCTCCACCAGAGCAGTCACCCTGTGGCTTCCCAGGTGAGCCCACAAGGAGCCAACGGCACCTGGGCTGACCTGGCAGCTGCCTTGTCTTTGTGCCAAAGGAAAGGAAATGTAGTAACAAGGCCTTGATTAAACCCTGAGCTGCTTGCTAATGGGAAACTCATCTGAAAGATTAACTGGGGCAGGATTATTCCAGCCAAGTGAGGCAGAACCAAATGCACTTGGCACCAGTGGCCAGGCAGCAGGTGGTGCCCAGCAGCTTGCTCGGCCTGAGCCTGTTCCTGGGGCTACCCTAGGGGGAAGGGGCCAGAGAAGCTGTCCCAAACGTTAGGATCCGCTGTGCCCAGCCTCACCTAGCACCATGTGGGCACCCTATCTGGGCCCTGAGAGCAAGGGACAGCGGCCCTGGCAGGTAGTCGCAGCGGGCACTTACCAAAGGTGGTGAGGTAGAAGGACAAGCCGGGATGGACACGCCGGCTTGCGAGGGAGACGCGGTGCCGGGAGTGCTCCATGGCCGCCCCACTCTGAGCCCGTCGGAGAGCCTGTAACCCGAGGCGTCTGTGTTGCTCCGCCGTAACCGAGGCAGCAGGTTGTGGCTCAGAGGCGGGAGCCCGAGGCCGGCTTAAGCGAGCGTTTGAACCGGCTGGCGCGCCAGGCCCTGATTGGCTCCTGCGGGTTTGAATGGAGAGGTTTCCACCTGACCGAGCAGACGCCGGTTCTGAGGCAGCGAAGCAGTGGCGTCCCAACTGCGAGAGCAGCCACCGAGGCCTGGGTGGCAGTCGTCCCCAGAAGGCTGCAGGACGGGCAGCCAGGGCTCCTGGCTGTAGGACCACTCCAGACTGAAGGGCCACCCCCAGGAGAGGCGTGGCCCCTGGGCTACCCACCGGACCACACTTGGCCTGCTCGTCCAGTTCCCCCAGGCCAGCAATTAGCCAGGTTTATAACATGCTTTGAAGCCCAGACCTGTAATCACTGGACCTGAGCAAGGGCAAAGGAGCACCCTCCTGGCCCAGGGGGCTTTGAGAAAGTGTCCCTTGCATGGGCCCACCCACCAGGCTGCAACCCCATCCCAAACCCTGCCCTCTCCATCTCCCTCCCCAGCCTCCTCTTGGATGAGAACAGTCTGGCGCAGGTCCAGACTGGAGCAGCTTGCTCCAGCCAGCCTTATGGTCCCCCATCAGCAGCCTGGTGCCTGGGGACAGGAAGACAGGCTCCCAGCATCTACGGGGACAGAAATGAACAGTACGCAGAGAGAGTAAGTGCTTTCACTCTCCAGAGCCTGGTGAAAGGAGGCAGAGCTGGAAGGAAGGTCAACTCCCTCACCGCTTCGCTGGTGGGAATGCCTCCTGGGAGCAGTTCTGCACGGGACACCTCCTCTGCAGAGCTCTGGCTATTGCTGCCCGGGGAGGGAAAGCGGCCGGTCTTACTGAAGTCTAAAAATGGGAAGTGTCAGAAGTTTCCAAACGGTATTTGTGGCTCACTGGTCCACTCAGGCCAGGGTTGCGGAATATGAGAGAGAATGGGGGGAGAAAATTTACACACGTCTTCTCATTTAATCTTCACAGTAAACCTTCACAGCATTGGCCCCAGTTTACCAGGAATACATCTGAACCTTGGGCAGAGAGAGTGGGTAGCTTGTCCAAGGCTGGCAGAGCTGAAGTTTGAACCCAGGTCCACCTGCCCCCAAGACTATCCTCCTTCTGTTCTTCCTTGGCCTTCATACCTGCCCCATAGCCAACAGCAAGTAGAGGGAGCAGACCTGCTTTTTTGATGCAGGTAAGGACACTAGACGTCACAGGGCCAGCTGGCCACCACAGGGAGCAGAAACTGGAGAAGGAGCCCTGAAATCTGCAAGCTAGTGGTCAAGTGCAAATGAGTCACATACAGGCCAGTGAACTGTTTGAATCCAGGCGCTTCGAGAGGATTCACCCTGCCCTGATCTTTCCAGAGCCCCACAGCATGAGCAGTGCCCTTGGCAGGGGCAAGCCAACTCCTCTGGCCCCAACCCAGTGGCAGATGGACTTCCTGCGCCCTAGATTGAGTGGGCCTGATCCTCCTCCTAGCTGGGGAAGTACGAGTCCAAGCATCCTTTCTGCACAGGGAGGTATCCTGGATCTGCCACTCCGTCCAGCCAGGGAAAGTGGACATCTTTAGGCTCACACCACAGGATGCAGACAGCACACTGAGGCTGGAGGTGCTGTAGACCTGCAGGAGCAAACTGGGAGCACAGTTAGGCATGGCCTGAGGATGCCCCTTGAGAGGGAGCATTCTCTCCTAGTAGGAATTAGGAGGTCCACTGGGAAGGGAAGACTGGTGTGCCCAAGGTGACAGTGTCTCCCTTCACAGCTCTGCCAGGGACCACTGTATAGCCCACACCAGGGAAGACCCCCTTGGACTCAGGAAGCTGGGAGCAACCTGCAGATGTACCCTCAGGAAGGGGGGACCCAGCAGGAGAGCTGGGCAGAGTTGTACTATCTGTATATGGCCTTAGGGAAAAAAGACTGAGGACCACACTGGGTACCTCACCCCCACTCAGGACAAAGGTCCCACTGCTTTGCAATTTCCCTCCCAACTCGTTCTGCCTCATTCAGCAACTAACCTATTTAGTGGGAAGACCCCAATGCCACTCTGATCCCAATCTGACCTCTGTGGCGGCGCCACCTTCACCAGCTTTACCACCAACATTAAAGCCCCTTGCTTAGTAGAACACTGAAAGCTTCCTTCTCTTAAAGGGGCAGGTCACTCTTTTCTCAGGACAAAAGTCAGTGGGAGCCTGGGTAGTGCCATTGCAGGAGAGACTAGTCCTATTGACTCATACTGCTGTCCACAGGGGACATCCAGAAAGAGTCACAGCCATGGCCCTGCTTTCCCCAACGAGGCAGAGGAGCTTGAGGACCAAGCCTGGCTTTCTGACTACCCTGAGCACTCTAGCACCCTCTGACCATAAACCTCAGTATCTCCTTTACACCTCACACCCCTCACACATGCATAAGCGTATGACACACACACAGTACAAACACGCGCTGCACACATACCCTGTGACACTTTCCATATACAAGCACAATGCGCCATATACATAACATACCTTCTACATACACAAATGCCACATACACACAAATAAACACATACCACACACTATACATGTATCTACGCACATACACAAGCACATAGACACATAACATAGCACACAGGCAAACACAAAAAAACACACTTGAATACATTCCATAGATACACCACCTTCACATGCAAAGATTGATTACAGGCATTTTTAAGACTGCCTCTGCATCTAGAAGAATAATGACTAATTGGGTTTCGAGGGAGGGGACAAACGGGATTTATTTAGGTGCATTTTCACCTTAGCTATTAAGGAATCTTAGTGCCATTAAGATGTCATCTGGCCCAACAGCCAAACAAATTTTGAAAAACAGCAACAGCCCTGGCTGGCATGGCGCGGTTGGTTGGAGTGCCGTCCTCCAGTTACTGAAAGGACACAAAGTGGGCAAGTGCGAAAGGGCAGCCAGTCGCTGTTTCTCTCTCACATGGATGATCGATCCCTCCTGCTCCTTCTCTTCCCTCCCTCTCTCTGTCTCCCCTTCCTCCCTCCTTGGAAGCAATAAAAAAGAGGAACAGTAACAAAGGGGACCAGGACTACCAGTCGCAGAACAGCATTACAATAATGCAGCACCAAAAAGACGGCAAACGGACCGACGGGGCAGAACGGAACGTTCAAGGAAAAGGATTTTAAACTAAAGGTTTGTTTCAAAAAGTTAGAAGAGGACGAGGAACAAACTAATTCATATGAGAATCTTAAAGGGAACTAATAAAAGTTGAATGTGTGTATGTGTGTGTGTGTGTGTGTGTGTGTAAACAGACTTCAACAATGAAACCAAAGCTTGGTTCTTAATAAAACACACGCACACAATAAAATAGAGCTCTGGCCAAACAAACTATAAATACACAAGTTTAGGAAAAAGAAAGCTACCCAACATAGCAAGGTAATTATTTAAATTATAAGATAAAACCATTGCAACCTTATTTATGAATTTGAGGATCTGGAGTGGGGGGAATGGAGGATTTTCTAGAAAGAATTAATTATTAAAATTGACACAAGAGTTTGAAATTTTTAATAGCTCACTAACCATAGAAAAAAATACAAAGGGAAATAAAAACTCTACCTGACAAAATCATGGAAGACCCAGGTAGTTTTAGGGGCCAATTCTATCAGACCTTCAAGAAACAAATAATGCCAGTGTAATTTAAACTCTTTTATAACTAGAAAGAAAATATGAAAAAAAATTGTCAGTGCTAGGTATATCTAGGCAAAGACTAAAACCAGATAAGGTTAGCAATAGAAAACTATAGACCAAAGGTCAAAGATTAAAATAAGAGTAGAAATTAGTGAAATAGAAAACAGGCATAGAGAAGATCTGTGAAAATGTAACCAAACTGGGCCCACATTCTCCCCATTTTGAAACATTTCTTTTAAGAAAAAGCCAGATTCTCTAGTTTTTATCGTAATGTCTCCCAATTTTTAAATATTGTCATTCAAAAAAATAAAAAATATACCGTAGGCTAAGTAAAATATAGCTCTGTCCTGCAACAAGCTTGAAATCTCTGCTGGATCCAATCTGACTTATGAATATGAGCACAAAAATTTCCAGTGAAGTATCAGCACACCGAAACCAGCAGTCTACTCATGATCCAGGCGCACTTACTCCAGGAAGGCAGAGGTGGTTCAGTGTTAATGACCATGGTACAGGGGCGGACACTCTGTGCCTACAGGCCGAATCTGACTCACTGCTTAGTTTGGGGCAGCAAGTGAACCAGGAATGGGTTTCATCTTTTTAAACGGTCCAAAAAAATAAAAATATTAAAGGCGTTTCTATGGCCATAAAAATATGATTTTTAAATTTAAAAATGAATGTAAAATATTTATAAAATATATGGCAAATATATATATATATATATATGTAAGTCTTACAGTAAGAAAAATATAAATGCAGCAACATGAATAATCATTGCGCAAGAGAGGGAAATAACTGACTAATGCGTAAATTACTAGTAACCAAAAAAAGAACAAAGGAAAAAAATTATCTGGCCCCACTATTTGCCTGCAGGAAATTCAAGAATTTAATTTTATAGAGGAGGCAACTAAGATTTGGAGTTGTTAAATGGATCACACATCACTAATGTAGTAAATGAACAGTGGAGGAATAAGAATCCAGCCAAAAAATCCACTGTAGAATTTCATCTTTTACACCAGTCCTCTTGCTCAAAGTATGTAGGCTAAGTCTGTAGCCTTAGTAGCAATAAGACCTCCACGGCTACTGGTACATTAACATTCAATTCAACAAACGTTTGCTAAACTAAGCACCTGTATTGTGCTGAGACTCAGTCTGAGCACTGGGGATATAGAAGCAAACCAGATGGAGCTTCCAGTCTGGTGAGACATTGGATGAGCGTTCCCATAGAGAACACACGGGAACCCGGGGAAACACGGAGTAACATCTCAGTTAGTCTGGGGAGCTGAGCAGACCAAAGTGA